TTGTAGTGATTTGTTAATTGTGATTATGTTTGAAAATGTATACCATTTGTGGATATATTGATGACACGAGACAGTGTGAACACTATGAATATGACTATTTGGCTCATTAAGCTCATCTAATGTATGCTTAATGGCATCATCACCATCGACTACTACTGATGTTTCAGGTAACTACCACCACCACCACCCTGGTCAAACTATCTATACTTTCCATCTCAAATAACTTTGAGCCTGCAAGTAGTGTTAGCCCTTAAGTTTGTCTTATCTGTCATATACTTAATAATGTTAACCTAAATCCATGTAAAATACAGTCACTATTAGAGATGAGTATATAATGTTTGGTTAACTTTTTAATTCATAAATTGTTGATATGTGTTAATATGGAGTTTACGGCACTTTGCTATGATATTTAGCCATAACTAAAATGTTTGCACTGATCTAACATAAGGTTTGCAACAATTGCCTCATTTCTGTATAAACTTAATCGGAGTTTGTATTAGTTTTATGGAGGATCTCATATACGTTATCACAAGTTTTGCTATATTTTGTTTGTATGAGTTTGTACTGAGTTTTGCTTATGAGTTGCGCCCAAAATACTTTTAAACCATTTACGAAGTTTTTGTTCAGATTATGAATTCTTTGCTAACTATTAATTATATCACTTTTTGTGACCATTATTCAGGCTTTTCTCTATTGAGCTCAATATATGGACGCTATATTCACTCATTCATTCATTTAGTTGTCTGTAGTAATACTGTAGCTAATAATTGGTGTGAATATACTGTACTATAATTAGTGAAAAAGTTAACTAAAACTAGTTCTCAATGGAGCCGTTAATTAATAGCTAAATCCTAAGGATATACGGCTATAGTTTGTACAGCATTTGTGGCCATGTTTTTAATTTATGACACATTTATTGAGTTCATATAATCTTATTAACCATTTCTCGACTCATGCTGACTATGACTTGACTCAAACTTTTTTCGACTAAACGTTACGTTAAGACAATTTGTTTGAATGACTGTTGCATTGCTGCGAGTATGCGATGAGTGCATAGGCTGTGCGGCCGGACTACCAGTGCTGGCGGCCATTCAGTAGACATTCCTTTGGGTTGAGAGCCAGAGAGCCGGTCCTAAGCGAAGGTCAGCCACTCAGCCACTGGTGATACCAATCTATGTATGGCTGCTGTGTTGGGTCTGTTGGGGACTGGGATGGGATGCGACTCTCGAGAGGCTCACAAGGATTGAGTGTTTCTTATGGTTTGCAAACAATGTCTTCAATGCAATCAAAAGCAAACAAATCGCTTCAACTCGCAAATGAGTTTCTTTGCGTTTTGTGAATAAAAAGTTAATTATTTTTGCGATAAACGCTAAGAAAAGGCTCAATATTGGTATAAATATTCATAAAAAGCTTTTGTTAGCAAAAGTTTCAATTTATAACTTGATTTGAAAGGATCTCTCAATTGATAATACGTTTGAATGGCATTGAGTCGCCTATAAGTCGCATCAGATTCTCGTTATTACATACACTTTGGGAAAGTCGTGTCGTTTTGTTGTGCAATGTGTGCACACATTATAATATGAGGTCAGGCTCTGCAGCACTGGTAGGCATAAGGCAGTGATGCTGTTGTGTGGCTGCAAAGGCTGTACAGAGTGTATAGCGTATAGTGTATTACTGTTAGACTGTACTATAATTTGGAGAGAAAGACATACACTTAACGCACGATTGAATGAACGGCTGAACGGCACCAGTGCTGGGACGCCGCCGACGAGGCGGATGGCTATGGCGTGTAGTGATGCCTATGCTGTCATTACAACACAGCTTTGGCTATACAACTGCTATACAGCTATACTGAACAACACAGACACCCATTGCCACGACTGACGCCAAACCGCCACCACTTCTCAAACTTATCACAAACGACTCGACGATCGCTATTCTGTTTGTCTGTCTCCACAAAAGGCACTCCACTTGACTGCCGGCCAACACACACACACTCACACACACCTCACCCACAATTAATTCATACCATTAACTAATCGTTAAATATCTATTAGTCTATTAGTTGTCATCAATGACCAAATGGCAGACTTCTATCAATAGTTTTTTATTTTATGCAAAACTCATTTTTCAACTATATTTAAGTCGTTTTTCATAATTCTATCATTAATTAAGTCTATTTGAATTAAATATTATATTTTTGTATAAAATATTAAACAAATTAATTAATTACATCAACAATTTGCGACCAGATTTACTGGTGAAATGTTTCATTAAAAATAGATTTTTGTCTCTTAATTATAAGAGGAGACTGGAGTTTAGTCTACACTTGAAAACAGATTGTGAAATGAATGATGAAATTTTCAGTTTTGTATTTAAAAAGATTACTTTTAATTACTTAACATTCAGTTAAAATAACTTAATTTTTAGTGTATTTCCTATAATTATTTTATTATAAATGTGTCTTTAGGTATGGGTATCAAGTGAAATGACAATACAATATCATAAAGTCCTAACTTAATCAAATAAAACAAAATAAATGCTTTAAAATAAATAGAATAATTTATTTCTATACACGAGTGAAATTGTTATACTGTACAGTAAATTTATACAATAACTATTTCTAATTAGTGAACCTCATAGTTTTTACAGTATTATTTATATAATATAATTTACAAATGATTAATTGTATTTTGAGTAAATTATCAAACATTAAACGATAAGAAATATTATTGACTCGAATTTATCACTAGATAATTTTTACGTGGAGACTTTCAAACAAAATAAATAATGAATAACTAATAAAATGATCGATTAAGTGATCAAATATTAATATTGATACGATTACTGCCAAATATTTGAGACAAGCCTAATGAGATACAAACATTATCCAGGTCCTAGACATATCAAGGTATATTAATTTTTATGCGATTATGAGGATTCTGTAATACAGTAAAATTTAGTTTAATCAAATATATTGTTATTAAATATTTGTTATAATTGTAAATACTGTATTATAAAACAAATAAAAAATCTGTTATAAAAATGAAATGAATCATGAGTTTTATAATATTGTTTTTGTATTTGAATTTTTATGTAAAGTCTGAAATAACCATTCTGATGTTTATTTGACTAATTTAACTTGCTCATTTATTCAGTCAAAATGATGCCAAATACGAATCGATTTGTCAATCATTATCGCTGTTATAGCAGTGCTGTTGAAGCCAAACAAAACCACCAGAAAATTGGTGTAATTTTATATAATTTCGAATTTGCTTGCTAATTCAGAAAAGTATTTTGATTTCAATGTACTGTAATTTGAATTGTGATTTCCATTCAACTGACAGATGTTTTAACAGTAAAAGCATTCATGAATTGATGCAAACGACAAAATAATTTCGAAATAAAATAGCGAAAAGAATGCCATTTATTTGAATCTTATTTTAAGCGCAAGTATTTCAATAAAGCGCTGAATATTCTGCTGTAGTTGTGATAACGCTGTACTGTATTTATGTTGATATTAATGCCAATTCTGGCGTCCAATTGATTGATATCTATTTTTTTAGAAAAAATAATTCAAATTACCATAACAATTAAATCTTTATTATTCAAGTTGATTTTTTATCCAAAGTATAATTAAATCTTTAGAAAATATAATATTTCTAACTAACAATTTACAAATAAATAATAACTTAATTGTAGAATTTTATTAGATTATCTGAATCATTTAATTATAATTCTAAAAATTATATTATGATAAATAAAATTTGAACTTTAAATATGACTATAATACATAATTTAGTTTTTCATTAAATTATTCATAAAATTCATACAAAACTTAAAATCTTATTTTTAAATTCTTTACAATTCAGTAAATTATCGACAAATTGGTCCCAAAAATTACTGATGATATGTTTGGTTTCATTTTGATACAACATTAAGTGTCCCTAACTTACCATTGATTAAGCCTTTTCTCACATATTGTGCGACTGTCGAAGTTTTACGTCATTTAAATCAGACGTGAATTAGATTTTCATTTGTTTTTCACTATTAAGTTATATTAGGCCTGAATCAGAGGTTTAATGAATTTAAATACGATTATATAATAATATTATAATGTATAAGGATTTAATTTTAAGCCATTTATACTGTACATATTACTGCAATTTAAAAATAATTAAATGGTCCGGTAGTGTAGGGCCGGTGCACATGACTAAACTTAACTGAACTTATAAAAGAAATAAATGAATTTAATGCTTAGTTTTAAATTTGTGAAGTGTTGTTGAAATGAGGGAATGAGTGATGTTTTATCAAAAAATTTTCTACTTTTCAGCGAATGTTTCGAATAGTATTGAATGAAATGAAAACAAAAAAGTTGTAAAAATTTAAATGTATTAAATGTCGGCTTGTATTTGAAAGGATTCTCATTCTTGATTCCGGTTGAGAGACAGGAATTTTAATAAATAATTTTTGCAAATTAACTTTTTTGCGTAAAACTTGACTTTTCCCTATAAAATAATCTAACTTTAAGTCTGACATAAAAGCAAATCTGAAATCTTATTCTATTTATAAGACATAAAACTGAATAATGAAAGCATTAATCGCCAAAAGATTAAGTTGTTTGAGATGTTTTGACTGAATTTTGTTGACTTTACTAAGAATTGCTTTATTTATTTGTAGGAATTCAGGCACCAGAAGGTTGTCGGCATTGGTGTACATTAGCATATTGGGAGCTCCGACACCGTGTGGGCCGACAGTTCCCGGTGTTCGGCGACAGCATCAATGTGTTCGCGCATTGGCCACAAGGCGAGGGCCTATGGCTCGAGCAGTGGTTCTCGACATCCATTTCCAATAGAGACAAGTCTGTGCGCCGGACGCGTGAGAAAATCGGTGTCGGAGTGACAATCAGTCGCGAGGAGGACGGGGTGTGGGTTTACAACCGTTCAAATGACCCGATTTTTGTCAACTCGCCGACACTGGATCCGCCCAACACTCGTAACCTCACTGTATATAAAGTATTTCCCGGCTTTTCCATTAAAGTATTCGACTTCGAAATCGCCCAAAACTACCGGCGCCTCCACGCCATAGAGCCGCCCGACGGCCCTATGGATCACAACGCCTTCCGGATTAGTTTCGCCAAAGGCTGGGGTCCGGACTACTCGAGACAATTCATCACATCGTGTCCGTGTTGGCTGGAAGTGCTCCTCTCAGTCACCGACAAAGTCAAGCGATCGATATCTCATCTCATCAACTCGTGAATACCAATACATCCGAAATCGTGGCCTCAACTCAACTGTTTCTCTCAAGACTCAGACATATCTTCCGTTAGAAAAAGCGACAATTATTTCGAAGAGTCTTAATGAGACAAAACGGACACAAATTTCTGTTTCAAATGGAAATTTTGGCTTAACTTCGATCACAACGAATGAAAATATTTTTCAAATAACAGTACAAATCAGGTCCCGTCCGATGGGCTGACCGGATATGGATTGCAAAACGAATTTACTCTCAAAACAGTAAATCGCCGAAAAACTTATGAAAATTACTATTTAAACAAATGTTTTCTATTTATGATCTGAACTAATGTGTGATTTTAAATGTTCAATTCGATTGTCATCGACTGTCCAATAGATTAACTAATTTTCATATTTTACATGAGATTTTAAATTATTATTTAAGTAATTATATTGTAAAATGCATTGCATTTGAATCACAAGTCCACAAAACCATTACAAATGATAAATATATATGAAAAGCATCCAAATGTCGACGTGTTTGCAATTAATTGACATATATTTGTATAATATTTGTATAAAATATACATAAACTAATTTTTTGGCTCTCTATGAGTGAATCATTTCATAAAAAATTTGTAAAAATTATTATAAAAAAAGTTGCCAAATATTATATTATAAATTAATTTAATTAAAAATAAAATGCTTTACTCATTGAATTGTTTCTTAATTATCAAGGTACAGTAGTATTACCATAGTAAATCTGATTTAGATTCAACATTTTAAATATCAATAAACGGACGACCATTCAAAATGAGGTTTTCCAACAAACAAGGCTTTTGTCGAATAAATGAAATGTTTGTGAAATTGAAATATTTTATTTAAAAGAGTCGAAAGTCAAGACTATTTATAAATAAATTAATCCATTATTTAATAAAATACTTCATTATCTTAGGTTTTAGTAAATGAATAAAAAATTACTTTCACTCATATTTATATATTTATTATAATTAATATTATAAAAAATTATAGTTTGACTAATGAAATAGTCTATGAAATGATGATAATCGGAACAAAAGGTATTGTGAATTATACGAAAATCTCATGAATTGCTTCTCAATACCAAAAATCTCAGTGTTTTTAGTTTACAAATTGGTTTTGTTATATAAAAATTTAAGCCAACGTTGTATTAAATAAACAAAATCATTGTTCAAATTAACTGTAAAATGATAAAAATTACAAAATATAAATAATTTGTGGAAATATAGTCACTCTCCAAGCAATGACTCAATAATAATAATTATATTACTCGATACAAAAAATTGTTTTAAACGTCGATTTCTATCTACAAAACCAATTAAGTCTTGTGATTGGACATAAGCCACGTGAGGCCCTCGAACAGGCCGTCCCCAGTGGTGGCACAGGCGGGCTGGACATACCAATTCCGCTGCCGCAGACTCGTCATCGTGAGCCCCAACTTGTCCTGGATTTCTTGCGGTTTCATTGCTGTCATGCAATCAAAACAAAATACTTATTCCTCAACATATCAACAGTTTGTTATGAGTTACGGCTCACACATACCGTCGGGTAAGTCCTGTTTGTTGGCGAACACCAGGATAATCACTTCCCTCATCTCGCGGTCGTTGACAATCTTATGCAACTCCTGTCGCGCCTCATCGATGCGATCCCTGTCCGCCGAGTCGACCACAAAGATGAGGCCTTGAGTTCCCGTATAGTAGTGCCTCCAAAGCGGCCGAATCTTGTCCTGACCGCCAACGTCCTACCCGTCCACACAAACAACACATCATTACTATGCATACAAACAGTGGTGACAAATGGTAGGACTGAGGACTGACCCAAACGCTGAACTTGACGTTCTTGTAGGTGACGGTCTCCACGTTGAAGCCCACCGTCGGGATGGTTGTCACCGATTGGCCTAATTTTAGTTTATATAATATGGCTGTCAATGAGACAAACAATGGGTTAGCGTTTGGTTGCCATCATAGGTCTGACGACATACTTGTCTTTCCGGCGGCGTCTAATCCAAGCATCAAAATCCTCATCTCTTTGTTACCAAATATTTTCGACAATATTTTGCCCATAATTTGATTGCTTTTATTAATTGCTTATTAATTGCTTATTATTACTGTTTTATTACTAATTATTATTATTATGACAACTATTTGTACACATATATTGACATATATTTGTTCCTAAGAGTAGTTCAAATGGTTTGATCCAATGGGTGATGTGGTTATTGGTTCACTGATTGATAGTGCGATAACTGATACAAAAGTTTTCATTGAATCTGTAATTGAAAACACATTTAATTGTCATTTAATTGTAATTAAAGCATTTGTTGTCATTTGGGATATACTTACAAATGATTGCATTATAATTATAACTTATATACAAATAATGCATTCAATGGCGTATTGATGGACATAATTGTCTGCAATTAACACCAACTGTAGAGACAATCAAATGGCAATCAATTGCTGTTAATTGCAATTAACATGCAATCAAAACATATAAACACCGGTCACTCAATCAATGCAATCAATGGCCTATCAGTTAATAACGTGTCACTCATTTGCATACCTCTCCCACAACACTCGCATTACCTCTCATTTCATATAACCAATCGACTAATGGTTTGGTCCGCAATACCAACCGTTTTATATTTCTTATATAAACCAATTAATCACTAAATTTAATACATTTATATATTCAAAGTTAATTGTTAATCATATAAGAAACGACTCCCACTTCCACTCAAGTGTAACGTTGTTTAATGTGAGTATATTTTAACGCCTCATAGGGTTTGGTTTGAGGGACCGTTCAATGATTTCCATAAAGTTTGCCAAACAGTGGATCCGGGAATGTATGGTTCGGGCGGAAAGGCATGACTCGGTCTTCCGTTTGCAACACAACTATAAATCATATTTAGACACAACCATTGCCAACACTATTATCAGTTTAACTATATTAACATTCACATAAGCTAGTCTAATTCTTACCTAATCTAGTCTAAGTCTTATTTATGATTTTTTAAAAATCAGATCATTAAAAAGCACATGAAAATTTGTTCTAGTACAAATGAGTTGCGAAGTTTTAAGAGGATCTTTCACCTAATTCACCATCAAAGTTACCATCATATGAATTGAATTACTTTTAAATTAAAAATATATAGAGTTGATAAACTGCGTAATCTGAAAAGGTAAAAAAGTGACCAGGAACAAGTCACCATAAGTCATTGGCTTAGTTTATGTGACCAGAATATTCTTAAATTATATAAGCTTAAATCCAGAAAAATTTAGTTGTTTTTAATTTACACTAATATAGTAAAAGCAGTGAATATTATTTGATGTAGCATTGCAGTCGAGATGATAAACACAATGCAACAAATCAAATCATAGCACCAGTTTTAGCCACTGTGTGTGTAATTTAAGCAAGTTCTCTTCATTTAAAATCTGATGATTGCAAACAATTCTAATCTGATTTCGCACTTCAATGAAATACTTATCGCAGAGATCATCACATTTCAAAACTGCATCTAATTAATCGATACTGTATTACTGTATTGATGACACTCTATGGCATGAATTAAACGAATAACTACTGAAAAGCACCAAAGACTACATGTTTGACCGCATGAAAGAAATGGTGAGTGAAGTCACTTACAGTTAATTCAGTCATTTAATGTGAATACTGTATTATAAATATATTGACCGCAATATAAAGTTAGCACTTATTTGCGAACCCTTTTCAAACTGGTTATGATACAAATCCTATACCGTAAAAATGTACGATTTGTGAGCAATGAAATGAATTGATGATAAGACAATGGTTTTGTACAACTAATCAATTGTTAATAAACATACATTCATACAAAATAATTCAATTAAATTAAATAAATAACTCATTTAGCGTTTAGACCCGATTTGTTGGCTTTGGAATTATTAACCTTTTTGTGAACACCGGCGCCGTTGCCAATAGTCGTGCCGTTGTTGGGATTCTTGAGGCGCCGGCGTCTCGTCTTCTTCTGTTCCCCGCAATAGACACTCCAATCGGTGTCGGCGTTGTTGTCGTACTCGTCATCCGAGTCGTTATTCTTGATGGAAGTGGTGGCGATGCGTTTGCTGGCGATCCGGGAGCTGTTGCGACCCATACCCATACACTTCTCGAGGTGTGGTGCGAACCGGGATGCGGCCAAATTGCGGTGACAGTTGGGACAGACGCACTCCATCTGCTTCTTGATCGGCACCTCACCGAAGATGTCCAGTCCTTTCGCGTCGATTATGGCTGCCATCGAGAGACCGACACTCAATTAGACACTCAATCAGACACTCATTCACTTCAATACATACCGTATTTGTTGTTTCTATACAAACACACAAAACAATCAAATCGTTAATTGGGTTATACTTTACAGACATTCATGTGATCACCAATTCTTAGCGCAAATACAGCCATACAGTCAACCCTTTTGTTCATTAATCCTAAACTATTAACTAATAATTGGTGTGCAATAGAGTTCATTGTATATATGGCTGTGACTGGAACTGGTGACCAAATTGTGGTCAAATTCAATACTAACTCTTCAGTGGGTGACTCGTCAACGAACAGACATTTCGTGTGTTTGGCCGCTCTGTGGACCTCGAAGTAGACACCGATCAGCACCTCCTCCACCATCTCGTCCAACACATCGCTGCTTACAGACTGACACAAAGACACATCAATAAGACAATTGTATGCAATTAGTGGTCATTGGTGTGAATGGCATTACATTGAGATTGTTGTCATTTTTGATATATTGCTTAAGAAGTATGGAATTCTGCATCAAATCAATGGTCGGAACCAATTGTCGACTCAATTGGACACCGATTGAGACCTCGCTGTCTGTCAACTTGTGGTGTATTTCAGGACCACTCGTCACATGTAATACAGTTATCGGTAATTAATAAATAAATGAGTGACTCATTGACTATAATATAGTGAAGTATAGACACCGATTGAGACCTCGCTGTCTGTCAACTTGTGGTGTATTTCAGGACCACTCGTCACATGTAATACAGTTATCGGTAATTAATAAATAAATGAGTGACTCATTGACTATAATATAGTGAAGTATAGCTCGTATTGAACAGACATCTAATCATCTAATCATTGAATTAACGATTCATTCAAATGTTTCATGCATTCAAATGTGTTGTGTTTAGACATCAGCTGTCATTGCATTACGTCTACAATGTATACAACGAGAACTCTCTTCATTCACACAATACATGCACTAATGAGACGACAATTGATTGTTTGTTTCCATCGCTCACTGACTGACTGGCACTGCAGGTGTCAGTACTCTCTCCACAGCCCCCGCGGTAGTCGTCATGTGATACGCGAACGGCGCCCACAATAATGCAAACAAATTGGCAAAAGTTTGAATGCTTTGAAAGACCGGAAACTAATAGACAATGGATTTAAATCATGATTTCAAATGCATTCAAAGGGATTTGCATTCATTTGATTCAATGCTTAAGAGGTTTAACATGAGTGAAGACCAGTTGAATCAACTCATTGACGAAGTATTTGATGAAAATCATGTCAAACCAGAGAGCAGTGCATCAAATGTGTGGCAATTATTGTGGAAATCAATGCATTTTGTGTTGAGAAGTGTCTTAAGCAATCACTTTCACTAACATTAACATAACAACCGGTATCATAACCACAGCTCAGTGACGGGTTGTGTTGCCGAATATGAATCTTTATCAGTCGTTAACTAAATAGGTCACTACTCTGTTAACTCTGAATGGACGCTACCACTCATCAGACATCGCAAACATCTGATGGGATGGGATGTCGAGGAATGTATTGTCGAGAATCCCTTCTATGGGTCAGTTGGTCTGGAGTGCTGGCCATGCGATCGACTTAACAAGGCTTCAGATCTGACTGATTATCACGAATTGGCCAAAGAATACGTGAACAACGAGAAGCCATTTGTGGTGAAAGATGTGATCACATCTCAAATCACTGCCAAAACACTACTCAATACATATGAAGCCAACGAAGAGGCTCTGGAGTTCGGAACCGCTAAAGTAGTCTCCAATTGCGGTTCACAAGCAGTCAATGATCTCAAGGATTTGATGCATTTGTTGAAAGAATCCATTGATGGGAACAACAGGAGTGATGACAATGTGTTGAAGTGGAAGAGAGATCTACAGATCGAGTGGAAACTGAATCGCGTGGAAGCGATTCGTGTGATAAGACAGGTCTTCGTTCGGCCCTATTTTGTGCCGCAAACGAGTGAAGTGGCTCTTCAGCGCTTTGTCTACATATCAGGCGCGCAGTCACCTGAGTATCAGTTGCCGAAGACTGAGTTCGCTAACGTATGGCTCACTCAGGGAACCGGTTATCGGCAGATAGTGCTCAAGCCGTCCCACATGTGCGCCAACAACTGCTCGGCCTTTTCGGTGCTCCTCAGACCCAAAGACACCCTTTACTACAACTGGCAGTTCTATAGACCCGTCTCATTGCCCTCCACTATCACTCCATCCAATCAACTGAGTGTCACTTTTGTCGCATCTTTCTATTGATGGCATCAATGCATACAAACATACCATAAATACCTCATATTTATATATAATATTTATAATGATTTTATGCCACTTTTATATCAATTATATTACATTATTGTAGAAATAAATAAATAATTATTAATTATATAAATGATGATTAAATACAACATTTGTTTTGTTGGGCTTTGACGTAACCTTTACTACTATCTGTTAGTGAGGAATGGGTTACCATTTGATAAATAGTTAGGTCTTTGAGACTGTATTAATGAATCACTTGAAGTGTCAGACCATTTAAATATATCAGTAAATAATGTTAGAGAAAAAAGTCAGTCATTTGTATTATTTATTTGCATTTGACTTGTATTTAATGATAAATTACAAGAATTCATAACATATCTGGTATAAGAGTTTCAACATTGTGATCATTAAATGCTTATATGAATGGTATGAATGGTTTCATATCTGAAATTCTTCAATAAAAACAGAATCTATGACAACGTCTCCCAAATTGAACTAATTTATCATTTTTACTCTTTCTGTACGAAACTTATAATACCTTACATTCACATCAAAATAACTTTCTCCGTAAATTATTTAGTGAAACCAAAATTATTTTCAATTATACCCTTATCCATGAAAATAGAGAGTAATTTCATTGATATCAAATTAAATTTAATATATTTTTCGTTATTAATATAAATTTATGTTTGAGGCATTTATTATAAAATCTTATAAAAATATTTATATAAAAATATTATTTTTTTTGAAGCCATTGAATATAGGTTGTCATTTGCATCTTGTAATTGAGAGCCACTTGAATATATAATATTAAAATGAATTTATTTTAAGAAATATCGCGAATTTACGTAAGAATAATATTTGAATTAATTTATATTACATTTTTATGGCTGGAATTCAATTTCACAGAATTTTTCACATTTATTGTATCATATATTTTGTGTTGCCTATGTCATATATCTTTATATAGCTTTATAGATATATAAAAACTCTCGTTTATAAAATTCATAACTTCTTAAAAACAAAGGTAACTTTTTATATAAGAGCAATGTTTATGTTATATTTCTTAAAATGTTTATTGTGTTTTTATTGTATTCTATAAAATAAATTTTCAGTTAAATATTTTTAAAAATATCCCAGAAAACTTATAGGCATTTACGTAAAATAAACTAAAAATATACCAATTGTACTTTACAGGTAAGCCTAAATGTATTCATGAATGAAATTGTATTATTATTATTATCTATTTTTATTAATACTGTACTAATCTTATTAGAATAAATACAAATCCATTTCAATATTAATGTAATTGTCAAATGGATATGTATTAATACTATCGGTCTGTTCGTAGTCCTAAGGATTCGTAACACTTTTTAATGGATTAGACTTTAAATCTATTGACTCATGGGATTCAACAAGACTTGGGTAACAAAAAAAGAAACAAAAACTTTTTAAATTGATTTTGTTGTTCAGATTGATTATCGATTTGTTTTTAAAATTGAATGAATTTGTTTTATTTTTAGTTTTAAATTCAGTTTATATTTATTAGTTTATCGTAACTTGAAATGGATAATAGCTTTAAAAACAAATTAAGTTAATCTCTTATTGTATTATCTATTAACTTACTTGTATACCTTCTATACTACCGTAATACTGTACCGTATACCTGAATAGAAAATGCTTATTTATTAATAAATGATAAATCAGGATGTATTTATAGATACTTTCCTTTTACTCCAATGATTAGGAATTGTTTGTGAATAAAAATCGCTAAATATTACAAAAGAGTAACCAAAATATCATTATTGTATTGTTAATTGTGATGATAAATATATGGGAGAATCCAATGTATTGATGCACGGAATCAATAAGTAATACCAAAATAAAGAGAAATATGTTTTCAATGGTATCAACAATGGTATCAACAATGGTATCAACAATGGTATCAACAATGGTATCAACAATGGTATCAATAAATAGTTGGCATTCAGTCCAATGACAATCACATCCAATGCCCCCGCATATGAAGATAGGAATTCGCATTTATTGTCAAATAAATTTTTTATTGTTTTAAACTTAAACACAAATATATGCAAATAAACTGATTTGTTTAAAACTACAACAAATAAATCATGTTAAATGAAAAATTAGAAAATTCAATTCATAGTTATAACATTTTGTTTCGCAAATTTTATTTTACACAATTAAACCGGTTTGTTTTGAATAGAGAGTTAGTTTTAAGAGTTTATCATAAAATTTTTAATATCGAAAACATTTTCCAACAAGAATTTTATTATGAAATAGTGCTCAATAACGGCGACTATAGATATAACATAATTACAAGAAACACAAAAAAAGTTATGAATTTTTTTGTTTTTGTTTTTTAAATTAATGGTTCATTCAATTGATAACATCATTTCACAACTTATTGATAAGTTATTTATAATATTCATATGTAACTAATGAAAAATGTTTGATTAAGTTGTAGAATATTTGACATAAGTCTGTAATAATAATGAATAATAGTAATCATAATAATAATATAATATTAGCTAAAAACTAATTTTAAAATACTTCAACTAAAAAAAGTATTTAACTTTTAATGTGATTAGAAATGAATAAATATTGAATTTTTAAAAACATTTTTGTTGTTTTTGAGAATTAGAGACAAAAAGAGTTTTAAAACGATTTGTTGTGTATTTTTGAGAGAGATTTACGAATTGACAGATTGAGTGCAAAAACAGAATTCAGGGATTCATTGATTCATTGATTCAAAGTATTGGCAGTAAAACAATGCCTAAAATACAATAATATGTTTGTCACTGACATTAAGAGGAATAACAAAATAGTTTGACATTAAAACAAATTAAGCGACTTTTGGGAACAATTTAAACGAGTATTTATTGCAATTAATGTCTAATATTTTTCCGGTTTTCACTTAAACTCAAGAGATATTCAACTGTAATGTATGGTTAATAGAGTGGAAGAATCCATTAAATCAGTTAATGTATTGAAGTTTAGATGTGAGGAGTTTTGCAATCTGTAAGTCTGTATAACAATTAGAGTTAGAGTTAGTGTTGGAGTCTTTGGCCATTCGGTGACGTCAGTCGACTTCAACCTTAAATAACAGACAAATGAATGGCATTTGAATGAATGGTCTGAGTGTTGGAGTGTTTAGTGTTGGGTTCACTCACGGGAATAGTAGTAGTCTTTGGTTTGTTGGATGTATAGTGGGATTAGCAGAGAGAGT